AGTCGTCGAAAAACTACGACAAAACACTGAAACAATCAGCAAGCCTTCAGGCTGCAAATGTGATAATAGCTTTACAGTAAAGTACAGCTCCCGACTCGTTTCGGTCGCTCTCAAGCTAACCTCTGAACTCACGACACTACTCCTGAATTCAAGATACTTAAGATACTATCTTACTCAGCGTACAGGCATTGTATATATAGCTCTTGACCAGCCTTCGAGAACATTCTCGGGAAAACCGGGAAGAATTCGTTCCAGAATGTTCTCGCTATGACATATCGCCACTTTTGTCAACAATTGTCCTTCTCACTTTCTGGCTACCCTAACCCAAATATTTCGTAACAATAGTATTAAAATAGCTTGTAATAATCGCTAATCATTGTATAGATTTAAGTCACTAAATTTATCTAATTTGCTGGTCATAACATAATTTGAAGGTTTGATTTAAATTCAATTACATTTTTATACCGATTTTATTCATTTCTTTATTATTAACCCAAAAGTTGCTATTAGCTTCGAAGTGGAATTTCCATACAATTACTATAAAAGCGTCGTTTCATTTTCATTCAAGAACCATTTGGCAAAATGCAAGATGATATTTATCTTTCAAACTAAAATTGTATGCACTTCTTAATTTTGAATTGGATTGATTTAAATAAAAATACATTTAATTCATGATCTATTTTAATTAAAAATATTCAATATTTTTATGGAATGATATTATATACTTTTATTTTTACTTCGTATTTAATAAAACATTAATGAATTTTTAATTAGCTAGCTATAATTAAACTATGATTAATAAACTACTTAATGATTTGAAAGCGAGCAACTACAACACTGTAGGAATAAAAACTTTTCATATACAGCGCGCGAGACTGTTTATCGGAAATTCTAAAGATATGCTGTTTTTAAATATTCTGTAATTTTGCTCTTGAATGGTGTTTTATCTAGCATAAGAGCGAAGAACGTGATAAAATACTTGTTAAAATATTTTGAAGACATAAAAATCTAACTTTAACTCAATAAGCAAATATTTCTATTGCTTTTAGCCCAAAGGGGCAATTTGCCCAGAAGAGCTATTAATTTCATTTTGGCATTCTGCGTTGATTCAGTATAAACGGCGAATCATTTTTTAAATTGTTGCCACCAAATATTAGAGCCGTGTAATATATTTAAAGAAATTAAATAATGAAAATGCTGTATAAATATATGTATGTTTCTCGCATCGGTGAAACAACGGTACCTAGAGCCATCAAATTTTGAATAACGTACGTTTCCACACGAATATCGGCATGGAAGCATGATCTACTGCTAATATTTGAAAGAAACATTCTAAGGAAGATTTTTGGACCGGTGAGGCAAAATGAATTGTGGAGAATATTATACAACCATGAAATCTATAAGAAATGTAATAAATCTAATATTGTGAAAATTGCAAACGCATCTGGTATTAGATGTCTAGGCCATATTTATAGATATGTTGATGTATTTCCTACTAAAAAGATAACCTTCTCAGAAGCAGAGGAGAAGCAACGAAAAGGAAGACCAACTGCTAGATGGCTGGATAGTGTGGGAAAAAATTTGCAACTGATAAGTGTAAACCCAATGGGAAGCTGTGGCGCCAGACAGGGTCAGATGGAAAAAACTTAGAGAGGCAATCTTGTCCTGTAGCAGGTAGTAGCGCTCAAGAAGAAGGAGCTGTAAATGACTGATATAAATATATGTATATTTAGGGTGTGATTCGTGTACAATTTTTTTTTTAATTTTGTGAATTTTTAATCCGCTATTTTATCAATTATTAGTCCTGACCGCAAATGGAAATTTATTTTATGTGTAAAAGCAACTATCCCTCTCCTCCAGGTGGTCTTTATAAGTCTTGTATTCAATTTTATTCTTGACTATGTAATGCATTTGATTTTGTTATTCGTTTGGGTTGCCAGTTCGGCTCTTGCAGTGATTGGCAGGCATTTATTTTTTTTCACTAGCTGAACATTAACAGCTATGTACTTTTGCAGCTATTCAGTCGGTGTGTAGGTTTTAACCAGGAATCAGGGTAAAATCCTTGTTTGTCAATGGGATTTGAAAATAAAGCCATTCCTTTATGGACAGTATATTTGCACTATTTTCCGTTAAACCAAAGAACATATATGCAAAGAAGGAAAGCTTCCATAAATGTGATGTAAACCAGTTTGACTACAGCGCCGCTATATCGCAAAGAGTCAAATTCTCGTCGCTATACGCCAGGTGTACAGAAAATTGAGGAATAGGGTACAAATTCAAGGAACTTATATTAAGACTGGTTCTTTGAAAAAGCTTTTCGCTATATTTTAAACTCGGATTTTGGTAGATCTTGTTACTCAAAATAAATAACCCATTAATTAATCTACTTGCACAGATCACTGATTTGATTTACGTCGGTACGGGGGGCGAAAAATGGTTTCACAGAACTTTTAACTCTTGATAAACGTGATTTTAGTCCTTTCGACACCGGCTTGACCACTATTTCGGACATGCGCAAAATGATACAAAGGCTGGAGCCTGTGTTTTCCTGCGGTTTGAGGGAGCCCTCCCCTCCCTTGCTTTGGCGAAGCTTCCGTTCTTAACATAATATTCTTTAGTTAAACTGATTGAATTTAAGAAGTCTCCATTTTATAGATATGATTTATGAAGTTTCTATTCCTGTGTGGTAGTACTCAAGGGATTTCGACCAGACTTTGGATTTGACTTGACTAATGAGATCTGACAGGTTTCATCCTTTGCAGAATTTTAAACGCTTCAGCAGAGTCGCTATTTAAAACGCGTTGCAAAGCCTTTTATAAACGCCTAGTGAAATAAAGAGCTGTTCGAATTATAAAAATGCTTTACTTCAAAATTTGGAGTTTAGCATTAAATACTTACAAACAGCCTAAGATTTGAAGATGCAAAATAAAAATATAATGGAGAAGTTTATAATGGAGAAGTTTTGTGAAGAACACCGACTGAATTCAGCTTTGTTCATGCCATCTACGACGCTCTGCAGCCGTGTTGCCTATTTTGTGCTATCAAACATTGATGAATTTAGTTTGCTGGAATAAGGCAGGAACATGATATAAGGCGAAACATTTCGTGCTCTTTTTTACACTTATGATAAAAGAATGCAGCAACCATTGCAAATGTAAATTTATGAGTCAGCGTAGTTAGAGCCCATTTGACGAAACAAAGAAATATATCAAACTTTGCTAAGATAAAACGAAAGTGTTTGACATTACTCAGTAGCTGACTCATTTCGAAGCATTTTAAGCAATTTTTGTAGTCTGTGTATTCTTTCTTGGTTACCCTGTATTTACCATCACCAAAATTTTCTTTACAAAGGAATATAAATAAGGATGCAAAATGCAAGGTAAAGCTTATATATAAAATTAATAATTTTTAACAAGGAAACAAGATGTCATAATAGTATTAGATATAGAAAACGGTTTTTGTTGAAAAAGGAAAATGGTCTTCTAACGAAAACTTGCTTTCCTGTGCGCACAGCTTCATCATCAGTTTTGAAGTATTGATTAAAAAATAAATAAATGAAAATAAAGGCTTTTTTCAAACAGAGCTATTGCTTTTCCAAGAGAAATGTTAGAAAAAAACTGAAAATGTTACTTAGTTTTGAAGAGTGTCATCCAACCGAGATAGTGGTTAGTGACTCTGACTGCCGTACCGAAAGGCCGGGCTCGAATCCTGCAGAAAGCATGGATGTTTGTAAATGTGTAGTGTCTGTGCGGCCTGGGGGCACTCTGGTAGTGGAGGAGAGGTGAGAGAACCTTGGAAACGTCCCCCTCCAGGGCGCTCTCTCTCAAAATTCGGAGGGGAAAGTGAGCTATTTGGTCGGTCTGTCTCCTATTTGGTGTTTAGGGCACTTGCCAACGAAAGGTGCATTTGATTCCTTATCACGATGAATGTCATGGGCTTGTACTGACCATTATCAGATAATAACAACGGTTTAAGGAAAGAAATAATGCATTAGTTAATGGTTGTATAAATGTTAAATAAATTAAGAGATACTGATGTTATATAAACCAACGGCTAACCATACAAATTTACTGAACAACGGTAATTTTACTGTATAGTCATCCCTGAGAAAAGAAATTAGTCGTATCACTTCATTTCAACGTAACATGGACATTAATTATTTCTCTTTAAAATTATAATCATCCACTATTTCTAACACGAGTAACTAATTAATAATCCCTATTAATCATTGTAGAAGTAAGACATAAATTACATGATTCATAATAGTCGACTTAAAGTATGTTTGGCATTTATTATCCTTAGGCCTTGCGTTTTACATTTACTCTGTACAGTAACTTGTAAATACATAACCCTAGGTAAGTATTTATTACATAAAAGCTTAGATTTAAAAATTATATATATATATATATAATATATATATATATAAACCATTTGTAGCAAGATTTCGACAAACGCACATATTTGGTCACTTCATCCGATCTGGAAACTGCAACGATAATTCCAAATACGATTCAATTTTAAAGAAATTAAGTTCATGTCATAAAACAACTGTGAAATTTTAAGCCTTGTTATTCTATGTTTAATTAATTTAAATGTGCGCATGTACTTTAAAGTAAAAAAAAAAATTAAACACCTGAAAATCGCTTCTTATATAACTTTTCCAAGCATTATATTTACAAAATTCATTAAAAAAAGGTGCCTATCCAGTATTTGGAAGAAATAAGTGAATGTTGGCACTGATACTTATTTTTCAATAGCAAAAGCAGAAATATAGAAATATAGCAGATTACGTGAAATGTGGCTAAAAGAAATGATTTCAAGTTGTTATAGCATGTCTGTTTTTTTTTTTTTTTTTTTTTTTTTTTTTTTAATGATATGTATTTTAATAGAACCATCAACAGAAGTTAACAGTCATGAACAATTTACTTTTATTTTTTTATAAAAAATAAAGCAATATTTTACTAGAACAAAATCTAATTCATATATTTTCTTAATTTTAGGAAAATTATGGAGCTGGCGCATTTTAAAGTTCTTTTCGTCGTGAGCTTCCTCAGCGGAGTTCTCTCAGACAGAGTGGTTATGACTAATAACGGACCAATACAGGGAATCACTGTTTCATCAGAACCAGAAATAGAGGCTTTTCTTGGAATCCCTTATGCCGAACCACCCGTCGGTAGACTGAGATTTATGAAACCCGTCCCAAAAACTTCTTGGCTGGGAGTATATGATGCTTCGAAATTAGCTCCAACTTGCATACAGAATGCTTCGGCGCAATATTATTATATGCCTAACATCGATAATATGACTGAGGACTGCCTGTATCTGAATATGTGGGTCCCTTATTCTGGAAATGGAACTGGCCGAAAACCTATAATTTTTTTCATTCATGGTGGAGCTTTTAACATTGGCTCTTCTAATATGGGTGTTTATGACGGAACGAAGATGGTAAGTCGTGGTGACGTCATAGTTGTTACCATAAATTATCGGATTGGTGTAATGGGCTTTTTTTCTGCTTTCATAGAAGACGCTGATGGAAATATGGGAATCTACGATCAAATCTTGGCATTAAACTGGGTGAGAGACAATGCTGAATCTTTTGGAGGTGATCCTGATCACATTGTTCTGATGGGCGAGAGTGCAGGTGCGATGTCTGTTGCCGCACACCTCGTATCTCCCCTAACAAAAAATCTCATCAAAAGAGCCATCTTACAGAGTGGAGCCGGTCTACAACCAATGAATTATGATGAAAATGAACGGCTGTATAAAGCTTCACAAAAATTAGCCACCATAGTAGGTTGTGCCGATAAGTCTGTTACGTTACAAACAGATCCACGAATCATCGTTAACTGCTTAAAAAGGTTGTCAGCAAAGGAATTGTCTGCTGCTGAAGGTATTTTAATGAAGTCTAATCCAATAACATTCGTTCCTAGAACCGGAGATACTTACATGCCAAGAGCAATTGTTTATGATGTAATGGAAGGCAATTTCAAAGATACAGAACTGTTGATTGGTGTAAATGAAAACGAAGGTTCCTTTTTTCTCTCTGCTGCCGCTCCTGATTATTTTGGAGTGTACGGAGTAAACAATATTCAGACCTTAAGTAGAAGACTGGCTTACCAAATGATACGGGTAATGTATAGGTTCACAGAACAGAAAGAAGAAGGAAAAATCGCTGACTTTTATATAAATGATATAAGTAATGGAACATCTGATATCTACACTCAAGCTATGAGCAATTCGCTTGGAGATTATTTGATAACGTGTGGTTCTGTTTTTCACGCTCAGATACATTCTTTACGTAATCCAGTATATTTCTATGTATTTAGTCATCGGTCATCTACTTCGCTATTAGCTGAGTGGATGGGAACTACTCACTTTGATGAACTAAAGTACATATTCGGAAATACGGTATTTAAGAATTTCACATCAGATGAGGAGGAACTGAGTAGAAGAATGATGGACAGGTGGTTAGCCTTCGCTAAAACAGGGTATGTATAATATTAAATTTTACGAAAACAAGTTATTATATTTTTGTTATTCTTAACACGAAGTGATTGAGTAATAAACTGCAAGCATATTTTTATGACATACCGTTTTTTAAGAAATTATTTGCTCTATTAATTATAATTATAAAGCCCAGTTACATGCTGAGGACCCTAGTAGTCATTTATACGAGTCTTACATAGCAGTGGTTCCTTCTTGTATTGAATTACAGGTAACTGTTTGGACCGGCTGTGTAAATGTTTTACCCCCTCTGAGGGTCCACCTTGGCGTGGTGAAGAGCGGTAAAAGGGCCCGCCCTTGGGCTGTGGTTGGCTTCCCAATATAGGGAGGCTTGAGCAGTCTTTGTGCTACACGACTATCTCTCACAAAGCAGTGCCTGGTAGTGGGCGCTCCGGTCAGGGGTAGGCGATGCTTGTAATAAGGGCGTCTTGTCGGATCAGGTTGGGATGAGAGCCACATGCCGGTGATACCTCGTCTAGGAGGTGAGGACCGTGTATTCAAATTTAATGTGTAAATGTTTTACCAAGTGTATATAATATGTATACACTGTTGACTGTTAAAATTGTTACATCATCAAAGAAGCTGACAACAAAGTCTAAAATTTGTACGATTAAAATACAATTAAAAAAAAGTTTTTATGCAATAAGTTTTTATTTTAAATGAATATGACAATTAATGCACTAAGATGATGAAAATAATTTAACATAGTTCAATGCGAATAATAGATTAAATAATTCTCTTTACAGAATTCATCTGCAAATTGATATCGCGCTTGTTAAAAGCGTGGGGCGACCATGATGGCATATGCATTTGACAATGCTATTAAATTAGTAGCTTTCGTTATTTAGGGGCCGTACACTTTTATTATTCGCGATATCAAATTGTACAAGAATTCTGTAAATAAAATTATTTAATTTATTATTTCCATTAAATTAGATTAAAAAAATTATTTTTCTCCTTTTAGTGCATTAATTAATTATATTTATTTCAAATAAAAGCTTATTGTGCAAAAATTTTTAATTGTAATTTATTTTCTGTTTTTTTAGGCTGAATTACACGTTATTAATAATGAAAGTTTAGTCACTACTAAAACACAAGCAACAAGTTATAAGAAAATTACCAAATAAATAAAAATAACTGAACTGCATTCAGAGAATGAAGAAATCAATTTGAGAATGAATAAATCAATTCAGAGAATGAAGAATGAATTTTCAAACTCAGTTTCGAAATTATTTGAAACTAAAATGAAAAACCGTATATCGTCAGTTTATCATTAATTTCAGTTTATCATTAATTGCGCCAAGAAAAAGCAAACTCAAAACACTTTTTCTTCTGTCAATGTAGAAAATCGCTTAAGAAATATTTTTGTTATCATGCTTGTTTTAAATTAGGGCGGAAAATTCGTTTTGTAATCTGTGAAAATTTCAAAACTTTATAACCGATACTTTTTTAGATGTTGAAATGTTTTAAAATCATAAAAGTCAAATAGTCTAAAAAATCGACCGATTTTTCAAAAATTCATAAATTAAGTTACTATTTTTATACGAGTTTCAGAAAAACGTTTAAACAGTGGTGCCGAAATCAGATTCCTAGCGGGTAATTCGAATACCATTTCTGTTCATCAACTGAAATATCTTTACCTGCTTGTTTGCCTCTCCACGCTAAATCATGTCATCCTGGTAAGCAAAAAATCGCCTGTTTTTACTTTTAGTAATATTGCCATCTCAAAGCTTGTTCTTCAGAATCTTTGCTTTCTAATGAATTCAGTTATAAAATATAGGTTGTTACTGGCTGACGATTTTCCTCCATAGTCATTGATAACGCTTTTATAAAATGTTCCTTTAGCCATCAAAGAAAACTTTTCAATGTTAGAAAAAACATTAATAATTTTTTCTCATGCCATTTCATTCGTCTATCAATTAGAGGTTGGATTATTAGATTTTCTCACTTATAAATAAGACTCAAATTTTTTTAATAATAATTACTCAACATTAAAAATAAAGATTTTTTTAAATTCTTAAAGATTCCATTTCTGACATTAATACTTGTAGAACTGATAGCAATTTTCAGTGCGGTTTGAATGGCATCGGCAAAGTTGAAAGAGCGTTTTAACATCAGGTAACACAAATCTTGTGACCGAAAATGCGAGATAAGCAAATCTTCGAATGTTAATCATAATTGAAACTTTATCACAACTTTGATTTGTGGTCAACTGAGTTATACAATATCAAACAACATTATTAAATATTTTGTTATGTCTGCGTAACAAATATGTTTACTTTAAATTGTCTTATGCATATGTAGATGTATTCACACATATTCGCTCACGTATACGAGAGT